GCACCATTGTTACTATTATTCGCCTAGGCATAGTTGATTCTTTGAGATTTTGAAATAAAATCCCTTGAATGCTTAGTTGAAACTGCTATCGAATGACTTTTATGGGTGTTTGAAGCCCCCATTACTGAGTTTAATTGCAGGTATTGTAGCCCCCTAGCATGGGTGGCATTTGATTTTTGTGTTTAGAATAAAATAATAAAGAAAATTTTTCTATTCATTGCATGGACTCGCCTCCATTTGTTGATGCTGAAAAACTTACATAGATCGGGAAAGTAGATGAAAAAATCTTCGATTTGCAACAAATTTGAGCAAATATGTTGAGAAATGAGCAAGAACGAGCAAGTTGAAGTTTCGCGGTGAATTTCGAAGAAGAAGTAGCAGCAGCGGCGAAATGAAGAAGAAAGGGAATAGATACAGAGATCCCGACTCTGGCGCCAAACGACAGCTTTGGCGTCTGACGCCAGAGTTTAGCGCCTGGCACAGAGTCAAATCCTAGCGCCAACAACTTTTCAGCGGCGACAGAACGTTCAGCCACTCAGAACTGTTATTTCAACCACTTACAGCAACTTTGGGTTCCTTAGCACGCCGGTTAGCCCTTCTAAGCAATTTGACATGATTTAGTAATCGGCTCGGTTACAATCACATTAAGTGATCGACCTGATGAATGATCGTCTCACTTAGCTTAAAGCGCCTAAGCATTGGCTCATCGGAGGCACCGACGTAATGGTTTATAAAAAACAGAGGCACAGACATAATGGTTCACAGGCAGCAAAAGCGCCGACGTACTAGCATAGCGGAAGAAAAGTTTAAGCGAGCTTTTAAAGATCGATAAGCATTGGTCTTTGGTAATTTCCTCGGAATATTATCGCAACAAATGAGGATAACTTCAAGCAAAGATATCTTCGACAGCATTCCCTAGCTTATGGAGGGTTGTCACATATAACTGGAGGTGATTTCAAGAGAAGTTATCTTTGATCGTGTTCCCTGGCTTGCAAAAGATGATCACAAAGCGCTAGAAGGTCGTTTCAAGCGAAGCAATCTTCGATGGGGTTCTCTAGCTTGTAGACACGGCGGAATGGAGGCAGTTACAAGCGTAGCAGTCTTCAGGAGGAATTCTCTAGTTTGCAGAAGATCGTCAAAACAAATAGCAGGATGGCATTCCCTAGCTAGCAGAAGGCTGTCACAACAACAGCAACAAATCGGTTACCTCCAGAGACGTGTGCTCGACGGTGCAAGATACGCGTTTCTTAAATCTTTTATCTGTTTAACTAACTCTAGTTTGCAGGTATCGGCGTTATAAGAGTGATTTAGGATAGCAGAACGTTCTGAATCATTCTCCGTCCCTATCGATACTTTGAATTTTGTTTTCGAAACTTGCGTTTCTCCAAACTCAGTCAAAGTGGGGGGGCTTCTGTAGACACCCATTTGTGTCTCCCCAAAACAAAATCCAGTGATGAGTACCTTTCACGTCGAATCATAATCGAATGAAGTGAAAGTGTGGAAAGTCTAGTGTTGCGGTTAGTTTTTATTTCTTTTCTTTCTCTCTGTTTTTGAAAACTTATTTTAAGAAAAAAGCCAATCCAGTTTGGTATGGTCCATGACAAGGGTCCAATAATGGTGTAGTTGGATGGGGCTTGAAAAGATTTTTCCAACGATATATTATAAGCCCAATTCCGATGAATAATGAGGAAGTTATGGCCAAATTACTAAATTGGCCCGGTTTGATATTTATATGCGGCTCAATGATCTAGAGGAGGGCCTAATATTGATTTATCATTCCTAATGCAATTAAAATTGATAATAGTCTTCTAGATTCTTCTAGAAGGTTCTTTTTATTACTAATTTAATTAGAATTGATAAATGGGCTTTAGTTGACTTTTTAGAGCTTTAATCAGAATAAAAGAAGTGTTTTCAAAGAAAATGCGATTTTGCCCTCTCGTACGGCTAAAATTTATCAAATTAAGATAACGCGTGGAAACTTGTTTCCAGCTTCTGACGGCGCTAGATCTTGCGGGCTAGTGTCCAGCGTTTGGCGCCACGTTGTTTTATTCTTTTCGAAACTCTAGTTCGTTTTTTAATCATATGCGGCCGATTTTCTCTATAAATAGCCTCCTAAAACCTCCGTTTTCAATCATCAAAAATCACCAACTCCCATCAAAGAATCTATTGATTACTCTCTCTATCTCTCTCTTTTCTAAACTAGCCTTTTGCATACAAAATTCTGCATTCACAAGATCTAGAAACACCTAGCCAAGTTCGAAGTTGCCTTCGCCCTAGACGTGAAAGGTTTTTTTTCTGAGGGTTTGGTCCCAAATCTCTATTTCAATTATTTAATTTAATTGTTTGATTTTATATTTTCCTTGAAATTACTAACTATAGGGAATATTTCAAGCATTATCCCAAACTTGAACCCCACTGTTATCATACACTAAAGTACGGTGGCGTCCAAAGGGAAAGAAGATAGAGCAAAAGAGTCGCCAACAAGTTTGAGGAGCTTGTAAACTGTTCACGAGGTGAAGGTTACACCCCTTAACGATCCAGGAGATCGTCAACTCCAATAGATCTTGAACCATGACTGGTAGTTCGGGGATGAAGATACAAATCCAACCTAAAAGAGATTGAACCTGCCCTAATAATAGGCCTCTACTTTATTCTGATCGTATTCATGTGCGCTTTCTGAATAACATACAATCAATAGGTTTACCCTAAACCTGTTTATCTATGTTGGTTGAATATTAATACACAAATAAAACTATTAGTGGCGATCACTTGAATTATGATCAAATTAACCCTAAACAAGATTATTAATTATCTTATTAAGCGTGATTACAAGTACAAATTCCCTTTAAACATGCATAAAAGGCGTGATCAAGCAATAACAATAAATAAAATCAAGCAACATAATAATAATTATCAAAATAAAAATAATCATAATTATCATAATCATGTTAAAGCATAAAAATAATAGCAAGATCCTAGGCATGATACTAACAAGATTAATAACAAACCCTAGCATGTCACTAAGCAATAAAGATCAAAGCTTTAACCCTAACATGATACTAACAATCATAAATATTAGGAAGAACATAAAAGGCATCATACTTTTAATCATGCTTGATATTAAAGTTACCCTAGACATGATATTAGGAAGATCAAAACACCCTAACATAACATTAGGAATCATAACAACAACCTAAGCATGATTTCTACATAATAACATCAATAAAAACCATTAAAGCACTTACTTGGATACCTCGTACCTCTTTCTAATAACAAAATACACACGTTAGTAACTTCAAGGAAAATAATAATTAAAACAATTAAATTAAATAATTGAAATAAAGATTTGGGACCAAACCCTCAGAAATTAAAACCTTTCACGTCTAGGGCGAAGGCAACTTCGAATAATGCTAGTTGTATCTAGGTCTTGTGAATGCGAAATTTTGTAAGAAAAAAGGGGGTAGGTTTAGAAGAGAGAGAAAAGCTTTAGCTTAGAGAAAAATTTAGAAAACTAGAGAGTTGATGATTGTAGATTGGAGGTTCTAGATGAGTGAAAACAGAGTTTTTAGAAGACTATTTATAGAGAAAATCAGCTAAAAAGATAGAAAATCGAAATAGAGTTTTGAAGCGCAAAAACAAGGTTAGCGCCAGACGCTGACATTAGCGCCAGGCATTAACGCGTTAGCTCCAGGCGATAATGACTGGTGTTTGGCGCTAATTAAATTTCTGACCCGTTTTCTAAAATCAGATAGCAATTAACCGTACAGGAGGATAAAATCGTATTTTCCTCAAAAACATTCTTTTATTCTGATTAAAACTCTAAAAAGTCAACAAAAGTCAATTTATCAATGTTAATTGAATTAGGAATGAAAAGAACCTTCTAGAAAAATATAGAAGACTAAAACCATTCCTAATTGCATTAGGAACGATAAATCTATATTAGGCCCTCCCCTAGATCATTGGGCCGTATATAAGGCTCAAACCGGGCCCAATTTAGTAATTTGGCCATAACTTCCTCAATATTCATCGGAATTGGACTTATAATATATCATTGGAAAACTCTTTTCAAGCCCTATCCAGCTACACTACTATTGGACCCATATCATGGACCAACCAAACTAGATTGGCTGTTTTCTTAGAATAGGTTTTCAAAAACAAAGAGAAGAGAAAAGAAATTAAATCTATCCGCAACACTTGACTTTTCACACTTTCACTTCATTCGACTACGATTGGACGTGAAAGGTACTCATCACCGGGTTTGGTTTTGGGGAGACACATTTGGGTGTCTACACTAACGTGTGTATTTTGTTATTAGAAAGAGATACGAGGCATCCAAGTAAGTGCTTTAATTGATTTATTGATGTTATGATATAGAAATCATGCTTAAATTATTATTTTGATCCCTAAGTGTCATGTTATGATGTTTTGATCTTCCTAGTATCATCTTCCTAGTATCATGTTTAGGGTAATAACTATATTTGATCTTTGATGTTTAGTGACATGCTAGGGTTTGTTATTAATCTTGTTAATATCATGCGTAGGATCTTGCTATTATTATGCTTTAACATGATTATGCACTAGTAGAAAAAAGCATTTGGCCACTAGTTCAAAATCCCCCTATGCCACCGGTTTTGAACCAGTGGGCATTTGGGGGGTGGCAATAGTCTGATGCAAAGTCACCGGTTTTGTCCGGTGGCAAAAACAAGTATAGCCACCGATTAACCAGTGGCAATATATATTTTTGCCACCGGTTAACCGGTGGCAATAACTTTTCCCGGTTTTTTTAATGGGGTTATTGGCACCGGTTCCTGTTCAAAACCGGTGCCAATAATGGCAAAAATAATAATTTTTTTTTTTTTTTGCACTTTTTTAGCTTAAATTGATAAATCAACACTAATATATATATATATATATATATATATATATATATATATATATATATATATATATATATATATATATATAAAGTTACATATTTTCATAAAAAAAATGATGTAATATTACAATTTTTGTCTAAAAAATTAAAATAAAATACAAGGTAAAAAAAATATGCAGCTACACAGTAGCAGAAGTGATGAACAGCAGCAACAGCGCATATAAGGAGCAGCACGACAGCACAGAAGCAGCCCCATATCTTAGTTAAACAAATTTTTGCATTATTCCTACATGATCTTCTGAAATCCACAAGAGAAGAATATAATCGGTATCAGCTTTTTCAGTGACTTTGAAGCGCTAAAACTCAAAACATATAATACAGTATGTCAGTATATGAACAAAGCAACTACTGGCTTAAGTATATTAATCAAAAAAGTCTTCATGTAAAATCCTAGACAAGTAGACATGCATAGCTCCTGAACATTTAAATACTTTATATACAAGTATGAGACTATGACTCTATGAATATTGCTTTTGTCCATCTCATAAACTTCCAAAAGAAAATTGCAATTCATCATTCTAGAGGCAAGAATTTGAATTTTACCAGTATGCTTTGTGGCTACAGGTAAGTGAACTAGGTACAGATCCATATAATCAAGTCGAAGTTGCTTCAAACTGTCTTTGCACGCTTCATGTACATGTCCATGGTCAAAGCTCCACAGCTGCAACAGGATTATACATGATAAGTGAGTGTAAATGTCATCTGATGATCAAAGTTCCTCCCAAAATAAGAAATTTTGTCCTCACTTAACCTTAGTGGTTATGAAAAGATCCTCCCTTTTGACAAGCCCAACTTGAATTGCTTCAGAAAGTGCCTCCCCAACCTCAGCTTCATTCTGGTAAAAAGCTACAAGAATCGTACCCGATTACACATCGTAAGTTTATCGCCAAAGACAGTAAGATAATAGTACATTGTAATGAACATGAGAGTTTTCTACTTGTCATTCTAAGGCTTGTGCTTGTGCATGTACATGGCTCTGGAATAAAACAACCCTAGACTTTGTGAACTTAATAGTCGTTTTGAAACAAGAAACAGAACCATAATCACACAACAGCATCACCTGGTCAGAAGCTCATAATGAGGGATGATCAGAATAGTCAGTTTGTAAAATCCTTTTTTTTTTTAATCATATCTCATCTACTCTTTAAATTTAAACAATCAATCATAGATTCCAGTTCAAGAGCAATGCCTAGCAAAGTGGTGTAGTGGTGCACAACTTAGTGCCTTAGTACATTACGGTCTCAGACCAAGCGTGATCTTGACAGAGCTCACTAAATTCAGATTTTGACCGAGCTGATTTGGTAGCTAGCAATCAGGCAAGGGTTATTATCAGTCATATACTAACAACTTGCACATAAACAAATATTTTCCAAAGTGTAACAATGGACATACACATGCACAATTGAATCAGAAATAGACTAAAACATTAATTCTTTTTAAATAGCTGCCAATCATGACATGTTATAGCAATGTAAAAACTCCTGTAAAGATTATCGCTAGGCAGTAGTAAGCAAAACAGCACAGCAAATTTCTCTTTAAAAATTCTTTTCACGAGAAGACGTCATTTACATAGATTCACACAAATTACAATTGAGTCATACCGGCTTACCCTATTACAATGATCGAGTGTAGTTGAATTGGATATAAGAAATATTTTTTCCTTTCAAAGGTTAGACATATACAGAGTAAAAGGGCAATTAAATAAGAAAATTGTCGCATTCAAGTTGTTCTTTTTGTATTTTTTTTTTTTTTTTTTGAGGTAAAAGCATTCAAGTTGTTCTTAAATACCTCTCTAGATGTCTTTATAATGGTGAAGGGATTCAATCTCATGTTTTTAAGTTTTATCCCTGAAGACTTTAATCAACTAAATTAGTTAATTGTCCACGTGACCACATTAGTTGTCACTAATCACATTATCCGAAAACTTTCAACCCTTTATAGGATTAATGACATGATTTTACATGAGTTCCCTTTATATATAATGGATGCGTTGATTTTATCATATTCTTCTTAGTGGTGATGCACTAATGATAAAGCCAATCATAGAAAATAATAATAACAAAAACAGCCATCACAACCAAATTTAAAATTAATAAACCTGTTGTGGAACTCGTCTAAATCTACGTATTGTCCGAAGCATTCTTCACCACTGAAGGGTATCTTCATGTTTTGTAAATTAGCCAACATGTCTTCGTAGTGCTCACCATCACGGACCACCGCGGAAGCCGCCTTGGGGTTTTGACGGCCGGATTCTTGTATCACCTTTAACATGTCATAAAACTTGTCAAACACCTTACTATTATTACTATTAGTATTGTAAATAACCATCGTAACAAATTTTCCTTGACAACTTTTTAATTCGTCTCTCAAATTTAATTGATTATTTTCTTTCAAATCAATGTTTCTCTCGTAAACTAAGACAAGCTAATAAAAGACAAGCTAATCACATATACTTATAAGTGAGGAACCGACCTAAGTTTATACACAGTAGCTTGATCATCACAGAAAAATCCAACATAAGTGCAATTTTACAAACCTGAAGTAAAGACTAAATTTAGGGGCTTTTTCCTCCAATAGTTGAAAATTATATTTCAATAACTACTTTACGCCATTAAGAATGGAATCAATGATGTATTAGCTAGGTTGTAAAAAAATTACTCCATAATTTACCATGTTTTCAATTAATTATACCGAACATCTACATTAAAACTTTGCAAAGTATAAACAATTAATATGTAATTAATTAATGTGAGAGGAATGTAGTGGACTATTGAGCATTTGTATGTAGCATGGGACAAACTCAAATCAAATAAACGACTTAACAAGAACAATGGAATAGAATTAAAGGATGAATACAGTAATATATGCAACATACACTAAGGTCCAAAGTCATTGGACCAAAACAATCAGAAATTAACAATGAAAAAAAAACAAAATTGAAACTAAACCATATAAAGATAAATCTTCAGCAAACGAGCAATCAAAAAACGAATCGCAATCAGAATTCACAATCAACATCAAAAGCATCATCCATCACTTCTCCAAGAACAAGTCCACCCAGTGCTCCTCCTAACAGACCAGCTCCCAATCCCATTCCCATTCCACCACCCTCAATTAACACACCAAGAACAAAGAAGTGGAATAATAGCCTATAATTTGAGCAAAAATGATGCATCTATGAAGCTTGAGAAATAAACATATACGTAGTACATAAATTCAAATGCTGGAAGATAGAGCTAAACTCAGAAATTATCAGAAGCAACCATTGCTTTAGGACCCAACTCTTCAAAAAAACTCAGCTTCTGAACCCTTTTCAAGGACAGTGTGACAATACCTCTGAAACAAGAAGTAAACAAATGCTTTCCCATTAATACAATTAATCTGACTATCCAAATCCCTATAAAAACTAAATTATGTGATTCATACCACGATTTAGATATTCAAGGTCGAGGCAGAACAGGGCAAGGAATGGAGACTTTGAATTTTTTATTCACAGAACAGCCCCCACAGCCACAACGCCTAACCAACTAACCCGCCTTAACCACCATATGCACCACCTAAACCCACCACATGCACCACCTAAACCCACCATATCCACCACCTTAACCCAAACACACAACCTTAACCCACCCCAAACCGAACCCACACACCAGACCGACCACCTTGACCCACCCTAAGTCCCTAACCCAAACCCACACACCAAACCGACCACCTTAACCCACCCTAACCCGAACCCACCTTAACCAACCTAACCCGAACCCATCCAACTAACCAAAATTATCACCGAAACCCACCTAATCCGAACCCAAACACCTTAAACCACCCAACTAACCCAGATCTATCACCCATCTTATTAGAAACCCAGAAAACCCCAGAAACCCTAGATCTCGGTTGATAGAATCAAAACATATAACACCAATAAAATTAGGGGAAAACACGAAAAATCAAAATCGATTAATCAAAAGTGCACAATTAAAAGGAAATAATAGAATATACTTGGTTTATGGGGTTCGCCATCTTCGAATTAGGAGAATAGAATCGTCGTCAAATTCGTCAAAGGAAGAGGAGATGGAAGAGCAAGGAGAAGACGCCATTTGTGAGAAACAATGGAGGTTAGTGAAGGTAATAAAAATGGTGCAAAGAGAGAAAGAGAGTAGTGGTTAGATCTTGTTTTGCCATTGAGGAGAGACTGAGAGACTGAAAGAGAGGACGAAAAGGAAAGAGAAAGAAAGAAGAAGGGAAAGAGGGAGAAATAAGAGGGGTAGGGCTGCAGGAGTAAGGTTTAACACAGCTAATTCCCACCGGTTCAAACCGGTGGCCTTTAACACATATGCCACCGGTTTGGTTTGAACCGGTGGCAATTTAAAAAAGCCTATTCCCGCCCATTTTTTCTCCACCGGTTTTTAAAAATCGGTGGACATGGCTCGGTGCCTTTTTGTATTTTTCTAATAGTGATGATAAATATGATTATTTTAATTATGATTATTATTTTTATAATTGTTAATTATTGTTATGATTATTATGTTGTTTGATGCTTATTATTATTTATTGTTTGATCACGCCTTTTATGCATGCTTAAAGGGAATTTGTACTTGTAATCACGCTTAATAAGCATATTAATAATCTTGTTTTGGGTTAATATGATTATAATTCAAGTGATCGTCAATAATAGTTTTATTTGTGCATTAATATTCAGTCAACATAGATAAACAGGTTTATGGTTAAATCTATTGATTGCATGTTAGCCAGAAAGCGCACATGAATACGATCAGAATAAAGTAGAGGTCTATTATTAGGGCAGGTTAAATCTCTTTTAGGTTGGATTTGTACCTTCATCCCCGAACTACAAGTTATGGTTCTAGACCTATTGGAGTTGACGATTTCCTGGATCGTTAAGGGGTGTATCCTTCACCTCGTGAACGGTTTACAAGTTCCTAAAACTTGTTGGCGACTCTTTTGCTCTATCTTCTTTCCCTTTGGACGCCACCGTGCTTTACTGTATGATCACAGTGGGGTTCAAGTTTGGAATAATGCTTGAAATATTCCCTACACATAGTCACATTTTTAAAAATTTGTGTGATCTTTAATGTTATTATGAACTTAAAGTACAACATCATGTTGAATAGTGACCTAATTTTAACATAGTGATATTTATTATTGATATTGACCATTATATTAAAAATTTCATTAAAAAATTAATCTCTTATAACTTTTATAATGTCACACCAACTTTTATTTCAACATAATAACCTTTATATTTATTTAGTGACCTTTTTTTTATTAATAAAACAATCATATTGTCACTAATATTGATGGTACATAATAAATTAGTGTGAACCAAATCCATTTAAAAATTTGTACTACTTTCTCACTCTATTTTCTATTTCTAAAAAGTACACGCTCTCCACTTTCTCTCTTTTGAAAGTATGTTTTTCTTCACACTTTAATTACTTCTTATAAGTACTTTTCATCTTTAGAGTTTGGGATTTTTTTTTTTTCACCTGTACATAGTAATTTGAAATATAACCCACCTAATCCACCTATATACTAGTATATATATATATACCTGACGGTCTGCTCCAACAATCTCCTTTTCCCTTCCTATTGCTCTGGCTTAAAATGAAAAACAGCAAAAAGGATTTTTAGAGCAGCCATTTCTGAAATTTTTAAAACAAAATATAGTCAAATTAAAGCAATTGCGATGGTGACTTAACTTTGTCAGGACTTGGAGAGAATAAGAGCAGCAGCATCGAGACCTTTCCCAATCCTTTTAGGACCCTTTAGAGCATCATTATTGGTGAACACAAAAAAATGGTTCATGGGTCACTATCACCATTTCTCTCTCATCCACATCAACCCAACAAACCATTTACAATATTCACTCTTAACAATGAACACTAAACAATGGTTCATCATCAATGCTCCCTACCCCACCTTATTTTATTTTTGTAAATATAATCTTTTTTGTTTCATAATTATAATTTATTAACCCGATGTCAATGTAATTAATTGACGTATTTAATATTTTAATCGTGATTACTAATTAAGAAATTATCGCATTTTTTTTATCAGCTTTTTAAAAAACTAATTCTTGTGATTAATATTTTTTAAACAACAACGCAACTAATTTTAATTAACAAAAAAAAAAAGAGGTACAAATCGTGATTACAGTTCTACAACTATAATCTAGTACATTTTATTTAAAAAAAAAAACAACTACACATCGTTTTGTAAGATGTCCTTAGGGATAACCATTTGTTGTAAACCTAGTTGCCTAAGTTTTCGTTGTTACCAAATTTATTCCATATATGTTCGACCAAGTCGTTTTTTAGCTGCAAATGAGTCTGTTGATCCTCAATCTCTGTTCTACGAGACAAGTATAAGCCAATATCCACAATACGATCAGTACGGTACTCGGTAGTGTCCTCATTAGCGTTGCCTCCAGCATTCATAAACTCATTGGTATTAACGTTATTTTGATACGTCTCTCGTTCATCTTCAACGATCATATTATGTATTATGATGCAGGCGAGCATGATATTGTGGAGTATGTCGGTATCCCACGCCAAAGACGGCTTTTTAATAATGGCAAAACGAGCTTGAAGGACCCCAAATGCGCGTTCAACGTCTTTCCTTGCAGCTTCCTGGTGTTTTGCGAATAAACGATCCTGACGAGTTTGTGGACTCGTAATGGATTTCACAAAAGAAGCCCATCTAGGGTAGATTCCATCAGTAAGATAATACCCATTCGTATAATGATGACCATTGACTACGAAGTTCACAAGAGGTGTTCGACCCTCTAAGACGTCTTTGAACACAGGGGATCGATGAAGCACATTAATATCGTTGCAGCTACCTGGCATCCCAAAGAACGAATGCCATATCCATAGATCTCTGTCCGCAACTGCCTCTAGTACGAGAGTTGCAACTCCTTCTCTTCCTTGATACTGCCCCTTCCATGCGTGTGGACAGTTCTTCCACTCCCAGTGCATACAATCAATGCTGCCTATCATGCCAGGAAATCCACGTTCTTCCCCAATACGTAGCAATCTTTCCATATCTGCGATGTTTGGACGGCGTAGGTACTGATCACCGAACAGGTTGATGACACCTTCTGTAAACTTTTGGAGTGCCAATCGTGAAGTTGCCTCACTTATACGGACATACTCATCACAAGCGTCCGAAGCACACCCGTAAGCTAGTTGTCTAACGGCCGCAGTGCACTTTTGAAGTGGAGACAAACCAAGACGACCTGCCGCATCTCGCCTTTGTTGAAACCAGGGGTCATGTTGGGTCACTGCGTTGAGAAGGCGCTCAAACACATGATTACGCATTCGAAACCGGCGCCGGAACAAGGAACTTGGATAAACTGGGATTTCCGCGAAATAGTCATTGTATAACTGTGCATGACCTTCTTCGCGTCCCCTATCCTTTCGGGGCTCAGTAGATTTGCGTCGGCGTTGCTGAGTGGCAGCTTGAATAATTGGTGGAATGTACTCATGCATCACGTGTTGTATCATAAGACACACTTCATTACGTTGTTGAACTCTAAGCTCCCTTCCCTCATCATCCGAGTTAGATGAAGATGAAGAGGAATCGGTTGAGCTTTCGTTTAAACTGTTTGAATTCATTTTGTACATAAGAAATGTAAGATAGAGTGAGGTTTGCTAATAGTAACTGCAAACGATTTATGTGTTTGTGTGTAAAAAAAATGAAAGAATGGTGTTTATTTATAGTGAACTAATTTGTAATTCTTCTTCAGAAATAACTGAATATAAAGAGACAAAGTTCACATGGGCTATGACAAACAATGAATTACAACCACACAGAAATTGAATGGAGAAGAAGGGTTTCACATGGGCTATGACCAACACTGGATTAGAACCACACAGAAATTGAATGGAGAAGAAGGGTTTCACATGGGCTAACAAAGGGGAAATTAAGATACTGACACAATTATATATAAAGAGACAAATTGATATAATTGAATAAACAAAATAAGATCACATGGGCTATGAAAATGGGAAAGTGGAAAAGATCCATTTTACTGATTAATTGATAAAGTACAAACATAAGGAAATGAGTACAAGAGGTTGAACTGGAATTGAAAACTTATCACTACTGAAAATGAAGAACAACAAAGGAATTGAACACACTTAACTACAATAAAAATAAAGGACACTAAGCATCATTATTGAAACGTTGAATATTGTTCCGAAGTATTACTATCATTTCGTCTTCCCACTGTTCTCGGTTTACTTTCTGTTCTAGACGAGATAGTTGCTCCCAGTTGATCCTATATTGCTCTAGCTCAATTTTCCGTTGTTTCCTTGCCTCCTTGCGCTCCTGTATTTCAAGTCTCTTCATTTCTGCTTCGTTTGACACATTCATCGAATCCCCAAGTAGCTGCAATCGACTGTTGAATGTTTCTAATTCCTTAAATGCTTGACTTGATGGAGCTTTACCCTTCAATCTCGACTTAGCCTTTTTAATACCTTCAGTACGAGCTACTCTCTCATCACCGACACCCACGCTGGTTGGTGTGGTAGGTGAGGAATTGTCACCCTCATCCCGTGTCCTCTTCCCACTACTTCCGCTCCCTACAGACTCATCCGTCAGTGGAGTTGAATGTGGACGTCCCACCGAAGGCTTGAATGTTTGTTGGTCCAAGAAAGACCGGAATTTGTCCCACTTCCTTAATTGGATCCATTCCTCGTAGAAGGTGAATCGTCCGAATGAGTTCTCATGGATTTTGTGGGCCTCTTGGATAACATCATCTTCGTTATAGCCACTTCCCTTTCGCTTCCGGGCCTTATCACAGCTTCCGCACCACTTTAACACGGCTTCAGAGATTCGCATCCACCTTCCCTTCAAACTACTAATAGTTCGTAGGGATATTTCATCTGCATTCGATTCCCTGGCAGCATCGTATGCGTCCAAGACTCTCTTCCAAAATACACCCTTCTTTTGATTTGTGCCGGTAATTATGTCGGTGCTGGTGTTCATGTAGCCGGATATAAGAGCCGCAGTTTCTGATCGCGACCAACCTCTATTGTTTGAACCACTAACACGAAATTCCGGAGTTGATTGGAGTGGTTGCTGTAACATTTGAGTGAAGTTTTGATGGGGAGAAGGAGTTTCATTTCCCTCACCATCATCCTCGCATTCTTCATTTGCCTCATCTTCTTCAGATAAGACATTGCTCGATTCCCAAATATTGGGATTCGGTTGTTGTGACGGAAAATAATCAGATGCAGCACCATATTCACCGTAACCCATTGGTATCATGGATGGATGTGGGAAATT